CAATAAAGTATGACTAGTTAGCATACAATAAAGTATGGCTAATTAGCATACTTACACTGAAGTATGTCTCATTAGCATACTTACAATAAAGTATGGCTAATTAGCATACTTACACTGAAGTATGTCTCATTAGCATACTTTCAATAAAGTATGTCTTATTAGCATACTTGCAATAAAGTATGTCTCATTAGCATACTTTCAATAAAGTATGTCTCATTAGCATACTTACAATAAAGTATGTCTCATTAGCATACTTACAATAAAGTATGTCTCATTAGCATACTTACAATAAAGTATGGCTAATTAGCATACTTACACTGAAGTATGTCTCATTAGCATGGCTAGAGTATATTTCTGTGTGCTTAATCACATGTCAAAACTATCAAGACAGGTACACAGGAACTAACAATAGATCATATACAATGTACCCCACACCCCACACCCCACATAATACTTAACACACACGTTTTATTACCTATATATACTCACCTTGTTCATCACCAGCATCTTTTCATGTGCTGGAAACTCAGTACCATCATCAGAGAGATGTCTACTGAATACCTTCAAAGCTGTCTCAGTCCATCCTTCCATCTGTTTGTTGATGTGGTACATACTCTCTTCAAAGCTGAGCAGGACATCACCACCAAATTTCTCAACTTCTTTGTTAATTGTCTGAGGAAAGAAATCAAGATATATGCAGTTGTTGTCCACTGAGTATCAGACACATGTTCCATGGAACGCACAAGACCAGTATCGATCATGACAAAGCCCAACAGTATTACTGTAAAATACTTTATTTTTGCTGGAATTTATATTTTGCTGATTGTACTTTTCACTGATTTATGATGAGTTAAATGTAAAATATAGGAAAAACGATATCATTCCTTCAAAGAAAATAGCGAAAATTAATTCCGAGCAAAAATAAAGTATTCTACAGTAATTTAAAGCCAGAAAACAATGTTTCTCCGAACTGTTTATAAGAGAAAGTGTAAACTGTACATACAATGCTGTAATTATTTTGTGACTTTATTTTTGCTGACAATTCTAAAAATGTGTGAAAAAAAAAGTTGTGAACTCAATTTTCGTGGATGTGTATATCATTGAAACAGAATTCATTACATTTTTCAATACTCACCTCTTCCCAGAATCTCATATCTTGGAATAATTTTCCAATGGTTTCTCTGTCAGGGGGCATTACAGAGTAGTCTGGTGGACGACCACTGTGGTTGAGAAAAATAAAACAAAATTAGGTACTAGCTAAAAATAAAAACTCGTGTTAGTGTTAGATGTCAATGATTTGGCTCGGCTTTTCAATGTTCAGTTTTAGTGGATGGTGATGTTAATATAAAGAGATTTTCTGGAGTTTGGGGTTAATATAAAATGATAGATTTATTTGTGAGTCAGATTTGTACTTGAAGGGTATTTTTTTCAATTATTTTTATTTGTTTTCATGCAAATATCTTGGCAGTGCAAAGAACCATGCATGTCATTTTGATGAAATATAGATTGCATTACAGTTAATTGTAATAAATTAAAAATAATTACAAATTCTTAATATCGATTAGAAATTATTTTAATTTGTAAATAACATAATATATGATAAATGTTTGATGAAGTTATGTACATTTTATTAACAAAAAAATATATTTTTTTCAATCTTAAAAAATTATTAAATATTCAAAAAAAGTCCTGCATTGATGACATTAAAAATGGTTAATTTTTTAAATATAATGTATTAGATGTTTCTTCTGATGATGGATGATGTATTCAATTTCATTTTCGAAAAAAACATACAATAAACAATTTCAAAACTTATTAAACTTAAAACACATCAAAACACATCAAAACAAACCAACATGCAGCATTTATTAAAAACAGTTAATTAAAAATAGCATGTTTTAATGAAATAAATTATCAAATATTTATAAAATAAAGTGACAAGCATAAATAAATCAAGCTTATTGTGTATTTTATTTAAACAAAATAATTAACCCCTCATAGAATATATAGCGATATACGATGATATCATATCTGGAATAATTGCAGATACAAGATTAGTATGGTTAGGTCATCGATTGAGATAAGCGTATTAGCTGAAGGCTGACTCCAGAAGGCAGTGTTGAAATAACTGCATTTCTAGAAAAGCGCCACCAGAAGATCAGTACATGCAAGACGACAACATTTTCACACTCAGGCAGATGTTATTAAGCCAATCATGTTAATTGTAGTGCAGAAAGGTTAAGAGCAAGGTTTTAGTCTTCCACCACACCTACCACACACCACAACACCTTGGACATACATAAAAGCATGCATGTCCAATCTCACCTCATGGAAGAGTGACGAAAGGAGGTACTGAATGTATCTGGAGTATGGGTTTGGCTGAGCTCCTTGGGAAAGCTTCATTAGGGTAAAATAAAAGGCATAGCAAAATAACATGAATACAAAAATAAACTAATAACAAAATAAGAAGTCTTTCCAAATCTGTTTTTCTTCAATTTTAAGATTAAAGGATTCAAAATTATGTGAAAATTATGAGACCATGGTAACCAATTGTAAATTAATTTATTTTATATCGTAGCAATTCATTACAAATATTTTCAATTATATTATACCAGTATATCAACATTGTGAAAGCATTGTTGTGATTGGCCAACAACCCTTTGTGATATATCATTGTTTTAACGCTCTTATTAGGGCTCGAAAAATGAACAGCAAATAATTATATTCGATCAGCAACATTTGAAAAACACGTTAAATACATACTGTACAATTTGATGTTTGAATTAACAACAACAACAAAATTGTGAACATAGTATTCAGACAGTAGATATCCTGGTCACAATCAGACTAACAAAAACAATGCTGGTTAATCAAAATTAAAACTAAATGTATTGGCTGCACTTGCGAGTGTTGCACTGTCAATAAGTTAGCTGTGGATATATGAAGGTGTTTTCTACAACTGATTTATTTAAAAAAACAGGTGCTCATTTTTTATTCTCTATGGATGCACCCAGAACACTATGTTGCAGTTTGTTTTTTCTTTTTCTGATTTAAAATAATTTATAATTGTTTTTATCCATAAAAAGTACACAAAAATTGTAATAAATCAATGCTTGGCATGGTGAACCACAAGATTGCAGACAGAAGTGTGACATATACATATTGGAACAAATTATGATCTCAATCATGGGGTTAAGAATTGGAAGGACTTATTATACATGTATACTCAAGAAAAAAAAGTATACATTTGTAGCTGCAGCATTGGGAATAACCAATGGGAAAACACTGAGGAATTAGACAGGATAACACACAGTTAATCAGATATGCATTTAAAGTTTAAAAAGTAAAAAGTAAAAATACAGCATTTCTCAAATACTGACTGCAGCACATTCATGGTATGGTAAATATCTGAATATTTTGAGCACCAGACTCACGTTTTATGTGAATGGACTAATTTACTTGAAAATGAAAATGTAGCAATTAATTAACCATTGAAACAATATAATATTTGCCAGTGAAATTTGGGTGCTACATTTTGCACATTATGTATTTGGTGTAATTTTTTATGTTAATTTTGGATAAAATGGAGTCTTTATCTAAACATTTGATAAAATACAGAATAAATGATGTGTTGAAGTTGACAAGTGTTGATTTTGACATTAATTATGCATAAAACTGTAGATATTATATATAATAAGCTGTGATGCTGTATAATGCATATTCAAACATACCAAAATGATAGTTGAAATATTTAAACATATACCAAGTATTTTAGAAATACCCCACTCCCACCCCTATATAAATAATATGGTCTGCAAATTTTCGAATATATTGCAATTTTATGTATACTTACATAATCTCACGTTGAAACTCTTCAATCCATTTCTGAATACCCTTCTTGATTTGGCTCAAACGAACTCTAGATTTCTCGTCACTCTTCAGTAATTGCTGATGGAAATCACCGATCAGTTCACGGAACTTGTCCACGTACCCTTGCAAAGTGGACAACTGCTCAGTGTCTTTATCCCCAAGCACAATGGTGAAATGAGTGGCCAACTTAGACCAGCCTTTCTCACTCATGTGAAGTCTCTTGGCACTGGCTAAACTATTCGCATCAGTCACCTGAGTGAATAGAAAACAGAAATGTTAAAATTTGTTCCACGCTACAAGTGAATGACCATAATGTTCAGTTCAGAATCATGCACAAAACTGTTGTTTTAATATTACATACTGTGGAATACTTTATTTTAGCTGAAATTAATTTTCGCTGAAAATAATTTTTGGGTGTTTTGCATGGAATTTATTTTCGCTGATTTTTGGCGAGTTGAATGTGAAATACAAGGAAAAAGGTATATTCGCTAGATTTTATTTTCCCTGAATCATTTCTTCAGCGAAAATTAATTCTATAAAAGCGAAAATAAAGCATTTTACAGTACTAAAAATCCTTGTCACCAAAATGGACAACATGCTGACAACAATCTAATACAGGTTGAAGCTCTAGCACTTTCCATTTCATTTGTGAAGTTAATTGGTCAGATTTACATAGTTAAGAGGTGATGTCCACTTCTTTAAAACAGAAAGAATGTTACTGTTAAATAATTGTTTTTAAAACCAAAATGGCTGTTTGTCGGCCAATATGCCTCTCGTATAAAATCAGAGTATTAACCAAGTATGTCTGAATTGCCAAAATATTACCTTCAAAGCTAGACTATATGCTGCATGGCTCCAGAGTTCTCTTTCTTCAGTTAGACTTGATACTTGCGTTTCTAATCGCTTTCGCTGTAGTTCATATAATTCATGGTACTCGGTCAGTAGGCTAAAATAGACAACACACACCTTCAAAGTTTTACAAACAAACAAACGAATAAAAAGAGCCCTGAATGTCAGAACTATTCCCTGTGTAACCAACTGTTTTAAAATTAAGAAATACGACCATCAAGCCGGTGTTTGTCCCAATGCAATCCACATGTAAGGTTAACCATATATACGCAGACTAGTTGGCAATTGGCCTTTATATAAAAGCAATCATGATTCTAAATTTTTCATTTTAACATAGACAAACAAGCATTTTGTTTATTAGTGCAACTAATTATAGTTATGATATCTCATTTCAAAATAAAAGAATATAATACAATTATATATGAGAGTGTAGCATTCAAACCTAATTCTGATCACGGCATGCCAGTAGCTAAATCTTGTTGTCAGTCACTAGTGTCTATTCAGAAAATTGACACTGAATATGTTATGAGAATAAGGCACAACCAGTCTTTTTATATCATTTTGCAAGTCAAAAATGTGAAATAAATGTTGGACTAGCAACAATATTCTACAAAGGAAAACATTTAATTGTGGAAAACATAATCTTACCCAGCATTTTTCTCTGACTCTGCAAGAGCAGCTTTCAACTAAAAAATAAACACAGAAACGATACAAAGTTCAAATTACTTATTAAAAGCACATATAGTGAGGAATGTTTGAAAATCAACATAATTAACATAAACGCATCCAACAACTTATGTGCAAATATGGTCATTTGTATAGTTTCTACATCTCCTATTTCATCAAATTTCACATATTTTAGACTTTTTAAAATGTTGTGAATTGAATTTTAGTGACAAACTTACAAATTATTAGAAAAAGAAATCAGAAAATCATATTCTTTGATCAGAATCAGAATATTCATTCCAAACAAAATCAACATATCAGTATTCTACAAGACCTGTAACAAACAGTCAGACACTGAGTAAAAATAGCAGAGAACATACAAGTATGTAATTTTGATTTGCTGAAATCTCTGGTTTTGCAGACCTTTTCAACACCTCACCAAAAGATTTCTAATATTTTAGACTTTCTCAAGGCTTTAAAATGTTGGGTTAGGTATTCTGAAGACACCCAGGGAGAACATTTCCTGGACATTAATTACAGAGAAAGGGCTTTCTGAATAGAAATGTACAGGCTGATTATGAATTCACCAATTATATTCAGTTGTTACTGTAATAATGTTAATTCTATTTCATAGTTTCGTTGCTAATACTTACATTTTCTTGCGCCTGTTGTGCTTGGTTTGTGACTAGTTGGTCATGTTCTTTTACATCAGATAACTCACTTTAAGTAGAAAACAAAATACACTCTGTTATCCCAAAATTCGCTTCATGCATTTATTGTCAACGTTCAAATAATAAATTTTGACAGTTTTTGTGAAACATCAATCTGATTAAAAATAAGATCCTAATTTGGATTTATTAAAATTCTTTTAATGTATTTAATTATTTTTACTGTAAAATGATTGATTTTCACTTATTTTACACAGGTTTAAATTTCGCTGATTTAGCATTTCAGGCATATTCAGTGGGTTTTAAATAGATAATGTGTTCTATGCTAAAATTCACATACTCACTGGGTTTTAATTTTTGCTCGTTTTCCAGTGAGCGAAATAAGCAAAATTAAAACCCAGTAAATAATTAACCCTTTTACAGTCATTTTTTTTTTGTGTCGCGAAATAGAT